AAACCAAGGACACTAAGATGCAAAAAGGAACAAAACAAATTGAAGAATTGAAGAAAGGCAAGCCTGGTGATCGCCAACAGCATTTGGCGAATCACCGAATGGCTATTCTACCGTCTAATGTTTCAGTGTGCCATGCCTGAGGGAAGAAACCAAATCGGCGACAAAAAGGAGCAGTCGGCGCATCGCCGAGTAGTTCTGCGAAGCCAAGATAGATTGCCCAAAGTTACAGACCTTGAGGATGTTGAATGCCAAGGCAAAAAGGTTGTGGAAAAGGTCAAAGGGAGGCTCGCCGAGTGGTTCGGTGAGCCCGACTTACTTCACCGAATGGCCCTTCGTGGCTTATTTTTGGCAACTATAAATTAGATTTTGAACATTTAGTTTAGTATATTTTACATCTTTGAGTATCTATTTTATTTTTGGAACGCTTGGAACTCTTTTCTATATAGTTTTTTCATAACTTTGAAGAATTTGAGAAGTTCAATTTGGAGAATTGGGAAGTGGGTTTCGAAGATTCGACAAATTGAAGCATTGTAAAGACTAAATCTCTCTTACCCAGTTGATGAATAATCGATTTGGTAACGATTTTCATCTTTTTATGATGTTAGGCTAAAACTCCAATTCTTGAGGTGTGATCATGCGATTATTTACTCAATTAGTTTATGAATATTGCTAATTACTAGTTTAAATGCTATTTAAAAGTGAGTTTAATCACTAATTAAGGTTTAATTTAAGAATTGTAGTTGCAAATACAATTCTATCTTTGTGTTCTTGGCTTGCGAGAGAGAGAAGTTTTAGAACTAAGATTATTGATTGATGATTTGTGGGTATTGGGTTGATCTGGGTTTAGCTCGAGAGAGTGAATCCTAAACCCAATCTCACCCATCTAGCATGAAAGAGTGGATGTATTAAGGTGTGGGTTGTTCTTCATTGTCATGCTTGTTGATGTTCAAAAGAAATCACCTGATTCGGGGTAGTTGTTCGAGAGAAAACTATCTCGCTTATAGTCCAGCCCACTCACTGATATTTAGCTAATCACTATTAGTTGCAATTATCCATATGCCTATATTTTCCTATAATCGATCACATCTCGAGAATTCTTCTCCTTATTGTTAATTAGTTCGAAGTTTTTGTGACTGTTTGTAGTTGATAACTAAAACCAAAACCCCATCTGACATTTGTGTCACCCCTTTAATTTGATTAATGTTCTTTTCGATAATTTCTATTCATATGGCTGAGTAGACCACGTTTGCACTTTCTAATTGAATTTAAAACATGTACCGCTCCCTGTGGGATTCGACCCCAACTCATTTAGTTGAGTTTTATACTGATTTACTATCGTTGACACCAAGAATTGGATGAGGTGTGCTTGAAATGTTAAATCATTACATGGATGTTGAATTAATTCTAATGAATTAGTAAATGTTACTTCGTCAAAACTTTAAAGTACTTGCACTAACGAAAAGTTCAAATCTATTATGAGATATTCTCTGGTATGCATGATGTTATGAAAAATATTACAATTAGTGATGGATTGTTGGATATTTTGTAATAAATAGAGGTCTTAAATTGAACACACACATCCGTTTGTGAAAGAACATGACTGTTATGAAAAATTATTTGTTTATGAAAGAACACGACTTTTATGAAAAGTCATATGTTCATGAAAAAACATGACTCTTATTAAAAGTCATGTCTTCGTGAAAGAACATGACTCTTATGAAGAGACATTTCTTATGTTCTATAAATATAAAGACTCTCTAGAAGTAGCCGAAGAAAAATCTACATGTATAAATAAAGAGCTTTGTTGTATCCTTGAGGAGAATTGTTTGTATTTAACCCAATATGTATATGGGCAATGTCTCTTTAAAGAAAGTAGCTACATGCCTCAAAGCCATCTTCTTCAATTATATTTCCTATTATTTTTTCTAACAAAAATAAATTTAACATTTTCTTATTTTCAAGAAAATATACCTGATTATATTAGGGAGTTATATTTTGTTTTTTTCCCAAAGTTAAATGATTATATTCTTCATGTATTTATTTGCGTTTGGAACTCTTATTCTTATTCATTTTCTACAGGATTCACTTTAAGCAAGATGTAACTTCAACCTAACGAGTACTCCAATCACCTCTCATAAGTTTTTGTTTTGATGTAACTTATATCTTACCTTTGCTGTAAAGTGTCGCATTTTTTGCTTCAAGTTTTCAAATATTCTAAATAGCAAATTAAACACAAACAACGTGGTTTATTTAAGTTCACATAAATCTCTCACTTCTAGTCTTCTATAAATACATAAGTTTAACTTGTAGTTTATTATCTAATCTTAATAATTTGTTTAGAAAATAAGTGTGATACATTGATTGTTTGGCTTAGAAATATAAGAGTTTGGTTTCTCAAATGGTCATTCAATTATAGTTATTATCTCAGAATATTATCTTTTATCTTGACATAAGTTTAACTTGTAGTTTATTATCTAATCTTAATAATTTGTTTAGAAAATAAGTGTGATACATTGATTGTTTGGCTTAGAAATATAAGAGTTTGGTTTCTCAAATGGTCATTCAGTTATAGTTATTATCTTCAGAATATTATCTTTTATCTTGACATAAGTTTTAACTTGTAGTTAATTATCTAATCTTAATAATTTGTTTAGAAAATAAGTGTGATACAATTTGATTGTTGGCTTAGAATATAAGAGTTTGGTTTCTCAAATGGTCATTCAGTTATAGTTATTATCTCAGAATATTATCTTTTATCTTGATTAGAATTTTTTGTCAACAAAAAAATGTCTTTCTAAGGTAACAATTGAGTGACTATATGAGAAATTAACTAAGAGATATAATCCAATTAACAAGTTGTGTGGTGAAAGAGCCAAGGGAAAAACATGACCGTGGTTTTATTTTGTTGAGTGACTATATGAGAAATCAACTAAGAAATAATTTAGTTAATTAACGAGTCGGTGAAAGAGCCAAGGGGAAAATATGATCATGGTTTTGTTTAACTACTAGTACTATTTTTAGTTCAAGAAAACACTGTCATTTTCATATTTATATTGAAACTAATTTTTTGACAGTGTAAATAACAAGTGTATATCAAGTCATGTACGTAGTGTACACTATTGTAAGATAATACTAAATATTATAAAAATAAAATTGTTAAGTAAATAAAGTACAAGTTTTTGTGGATGATCAATATAATTAATTATATATCGACTTATTTATCAGGATCACATGCCATAGTTTGAACAGATAAAGATGAATAATCTTGATGATTTTGGACAACAAATTAAAATAGACTGGACTTGTTTGAACCGCTAAAGATGAACAATCTTGATGATTTTGGACAACAAATTAAAGTTGTAAGGCTTGTTGAATAGTATTTGTATTTGACTCATGTTGCTTATGTCATATTTTATTTATAATTATTTATGAAGAAATTACGTTGTTGTTTTAATCAATTCTCTTGTTCTAGAATGTTTTCAAAACGATTAGCTCATTCTAGGACTAAAATATTTACTTTGATTTTGCCTTGAGAAAGTAAATTAGGATGGAGTTAGATTAATATATTATCATGATTTGAGTCATTAAATCTCATCTAAAGAATTTAACTTAGAGATAGGCAGAATTATAGTGTGGTGTCACATACTTAGATTTTTATTAGATACATTATGTTATCTTTGACAACTTGCTCATGAATTTTTTATGATTTTGCAAGCTCAAACAATAGTTTTAATATTAGATCACTAAAAAAATATTGTATTACAGAATGATACAAGAGAATTGCAGAACGAAATTCTTATATTGCTCAAGACTAGGAAAATTTGCTTGATACATTTACTAACGAATGTCTATATATTTATACTACTCGCCTAGGGTTTAATTTGTAAATATAAATTGTATACAAGTCTCTATTTTAATATTCTATATATCACTAAAATATTTCAAAGACCTTCCACACAAATCCATAAAATTATAAAATCTTCCAAGAAAAATCTATATATGTTTCTAGAATACTATACTACGGACTAGTCTTCTTTCTATGTAAGCCTTCTGTATGGACAATTTTGTGCCGCATGATGCTTAGTGATGATGTGGCCAGTCATCATAGTAGCCTAAAGTCTAAATTAGTCGAGAGACATTAGTGGAAATTGAAATTAAAAACAATTTATTTAGTATAATTAGTGGTGGTTTAGCGCGCTAGCATTGCATTCGATCGTTATGAGTTCAAATTAGTTTTATCTTATTAGTTTTTAAATAAAGTCAATTATTTAAAAATTATTTGGTGACGATTCCATAACAAATTTGATTGTCTTTAACATATTTTTTCCTGTAAAATTCGACACTAATTATATTGCAACATCGGTGTACACTTTCTCTTTAAGTAGTGAATTTGAACGTCAATCAGACTATAAATGATTTTCACCCTTTGTATATTGATAATGTCAAATAACTTCTTATGCACACTTTTAAATTACTAGAAAACTATTGATAAGTAATCTAGAAAAGATTATAAACATTGATTGGTAAAAAAAGTACCACATAAATGTATATAATCTGAATTCATTATTTTCATATTATAGGAAATACATTTATTTACTTTAATTTGTTGGTATTCAATTTCCTCAAAACAATGATTGAGAATTAATGAAATAACTATATTACCCTTATTTAGAAGAGGGGGTTGTGAAGGACTAACACAGCTCCAAAAAGTTGTTCCAAATGTAAGTTAAGTTGTACTATATTAGGGCCCACTTTATTCAACAAGTATTGTACTAGCATTTAAGTTGTAGGGTTCACTTTATTTAACAAGTATTGTACTACCATTGATAATACATAAGTATTAATTATAACTTGCCGTGTAATTTCTTTTAAGTCCCCACGTGTCTTTAAGGGCAAATTGGTCACTGAACCATATTATATGTGGCAACTTAATAGCCTAAAGTCCTTTGTGTCCATTAATATTGCTCCACCTGTTAGGCAACATTTAGTCATCTCTATCTTCTTTGTTTTCTCATCTCTATCTTCTTTGTTTTCTCTCTTGAATATTAGAATTAGAATAATTGTTGCAAAAATTCGGGGTTGTGATGATGATTTTCTTCTTTGTTTCTCCGAGAATGAGAAAATTGATAGTGTAAGAGAGCAATCGGACCCGTATCTTGGCGGGGCAACCCGGATGGAAGGTTATCCTGCAACCGGTGCTTGCAGTCATGGCGGTGATTCCAATCTCTCTTATCGTATTACAAATCCGAGCTTCAATGTTTAAATTTCTTAGGGTCTATTGAAAATCGCCTCTTTACCTCCACAAGATAGAGGTGAGACTACACTGACTTATTGTTGTTGCAGTTGGAAAATTCGCAGTTAAAAAAAATACACCATAATTTCTCATAAAAGTAGCCTGAAGAATTCAACTACTTCAATACCATGCCATAACATGACATTTTAAATTATTTGTGTGTTTGCATGTTTTTGGGATTTAATTTTAATTTTAATTTTATTGTTTTTGTTATTTGTTGAATCCAAATATGATTCTTTTGATATTTGGAATAGACATGTAACAGTGCTTTAGGTTTAATCCATCTCTCGCCTTCTCTCGCGTATGGCTGTATGTACCTTTTAGAGACAGAAAGAGCACACTCAAGTTGCACGGTAAGCTAAGTATTCATTTTCACTATTAGCCTTTTGTTTCTTGGTTCATTTTGTTGACCGTTTCTATTCTTCCGAAAATTTGTTTTGACATTCAAAAATCGACTTGACCATGAAATCAGTAGACAATGAAGAAGAAACAGAGCAAGTAGTTTTAGAGCTCTTTATGTGTGTGGTGGTGTTGTATCAGGTAAATTATTATATCGTATTTTTATTATCATTTTTTGGTTATCTCTATTTGTTTTTTTATTATATTTTTTTGGGTTCTACGTTGAGATTTCTCTGCATCCAAAGAAGACCCAATTCGGTTCTTCTGATTCTAGGCAGATTAGGTTGATTTACTACATTTGTAGAATTTGACTATTTGTTGAATCCACTAATTTGAGGTGACAAATCTGGTAGCTCACTAGATTTGCTTAACTGTTTATTTACACATATTGCTCGAATGTTAACCTGCTCCCTTTTTTCCTTCACTCTGCACTTTGAAAAATATTTGTTGTCTATGTCTTTTGCATCTTTGTTGTTTCAAATACAAGTACTAACACCTAATCATTACTTTATAATTGTACAGGTATTCCATTTCAAGTTTATAAGGAGGCTACAAGAAGTCTAATTTATGAATAGTTACCTTGTGTGTGATGTTAAAGAGTGTATTTTAGCATTTATCAATATAAAAATGAAGTCATGGACATTGTTCCAAAATGTCTATGAATTATGTCTTGAGTTGCTTTTCAAGGAGTAAGGTGTGAGTAAGTATTGTTTAATGAAGAAGGTAAAAAGGTGCAATTCAATTTTGAGACCAAGTGTTGAGTTGGTCTTTCACATTAAACTTGAGAAAAAAAAAGGAACTAACTTCAGTAAATGCATATTAGTACTGTAGGATCTTACTCATTCATGATGGCTTTCTTTTGTTACTTAATTGTAATTTTCCAAAACTTGTTTTGCTTGAACAGGGTTCATCGTTTAGGGAAATATCATATTCGAAAATATTTTGCCACGAATTGACAGGTTTGTTTATTTGCTTCTTATAAACTTCTGTAAATTCTTCCATACCTCCGTTTTACTTTTTATTGTTGCGTGAATCTGCGAAAGTTTTTGCTGTCTTTTAGTGCTATGAAAGAAAGTCACTTTCATAATAGAAGTATAGTAGGATTTATAAATACTAGGATTAGTCTAATAACCTCTAGAATTCAAATTTTCGCTAATGTTTGAGTATATTTATAGTGAGGGACGTTCATGTCACGAGTTTCAACTCTGACGTCAACCCAAAGTTGGGGAAAGTATTTAAGTGGAAACATAACAGAGGGGCATGTGCATACTCTTGAGTTTTTCTGATGAACAATGAGGTTTGACTAGCTAACTAGAAGGGAATTTTTCAACTATTAAATAAGACTGAGTCTTTTCTCGACTAAAAGGATGTCTTTTAGTTTTAAACCATATACTTCTATTGTTTTCTCCTTAGAGTTGTTGACCTCATCCAATCCTTGTCATTTTGATCAATGTATTTTGTTCCGCTACATTGTTGGACAGATTGCAGGAGAAGCAACACAGTAAATTGGATAATGAAGCTTATTTGGATGAGAATCACATGCTATTTAAAAATATCCAGTTCCTTGTCGAAGTATTGCACCCTCTACTCTATTTTATTTCGTATGAAATCTCTTCTAATTGCTGATTTCTACACTTCTGAATCGCACACATGGGCACATTGGATGATTCTTTTGACGATCCTTCATAATGTGGCATTTTTATTCAAGTTGAAAGAAGAGGTAAAGAAGCTTCAATCAATCCAGCAAGCTAAAAGTGGCGTTGACATAGTCTCTGAGATAAGGGTGAAGACTCATTATGCTACACCAATTGGTGCTGATCAAAGAATTGGCCAGTACTTATCTAGCATCTTTAATTATTATTCATTCTTGTTAATGATGAGGTTTAGTTTTGAGGTTTATTGAAAAATCAAGGTAAGGTCTACCTACATTCTACCTTGATGAGATCCCACTTGTGGGATCAAACTAGGTATGTTGTTATCGTCGTCAAATTAGTAATGTTTTGCTCCATTTTTAAGATTCTTATATTTGAATTTGTGCATATGATGTGTCTTTTACTGTAGTCTACAAAGCAGATCGAATTGCCACATACTTTGTTAAGTGGTTGGGGAAGAGTACTCCTGGTTTGTCATATGGATTGGCCCTGAGTGAGGCTTTGATTGCACCTGCAATGCCCAGCACTACGGCAAGAGATGGTGGGGTATTTTTGCCTATTATTAAGTCTCTCACTTTCAGCTGGAAGTAAACGTGGTGAACCCTCCTCCAAGAAGCTAGGATCTTACTTGATTCAATCTCAATTTCAGGTATGCCTTTGTTTTGCCTGCTGTAGATGTGTGGTCTGTCACATAATTAGATGACTTTAATGAAATGTAAAACACTCTCTATGGATACATGAATTAGTACTGACCAAATGATCCTATTATTCAAGAATTCAATCTATATACACCAATGGTGAAAATAGTTTTTGAGCCATTGAGGTAACATTAAGTTTGTAACCTGGAAAATAAGGTTATTAGTATGCTAAAATAGGTTAAACTATTAAGTTATATCCATAGGGTACTTTTTGAGTGATCTTTGTCTGAAGACTGATATTTATCTTGAATTTGCAACAGAAGACATTATGCATTTGATCAACTATTACTACCTTTTCGGTTGTGCTTTGTCTCTTTCAGGAATACATAACATATATGGGGTATGGAATGATGTCAGCTATATGAAGCTCTTAACCTGCAAAATTCATTACTGAGAACTCAAATCTATCTACAATTGCTTTAATAGATTCCATAACTAAAAGGGATAAAAATGAATTGTTTGGTTGTTGAAAATAGCTTTACCTGTCAGCACTTTAATTATTTTTTTGCCTTTAAAAGCAATGAAAAACAACGTTATCACATGTTGTTTTGTATTTTTAAATTAAAATTAGCTATATGTTAAAAAATAGATGTCAAAAAATATGTGTGGAAATATAATCCTCTAGCCTTTTGATTTTTTCAACTCTCAAGTGTATAAAATTTCTTGATTCTGGAGAAGAACAAAGGGGATATAGATGCATTTCGATATTGTTGTGGTGATTCCGAACATTTTCAACATGTAGGTTCAAAAATCTGATGCGAAGTCTCTGCTGACCAAACTGTCTAGAATATGTGTGCATTCTTCCTGCTTCTCGAGTTCTTGGTTACATTGCTTGGCTGATTATCCCCTGTGCAATAGACATAATATATATGTTGATATTATTTCATGTTGTTATATCAATAAATTTTAACATGTGTGCTTATTTGTCGTTCACATGGAAAATAAGGGTAGTTGTATAAGCCAACTAAACCAGAGAGCACGTAGTGGAGGCCTATGTTTCTATCCCCCGCAAAAGCTAAGGAAAACATCTCTAACTTGTTAGGATGGACACCGATGTACTTGAAAACATGATCTGCAAGGAGGCCAGAAAGAGAGAGTCGCTGCAATTGCTTGCATTGTTGCAAATGGCCCCAAAACCAGCATCAAGTGCATATATTGCAAATGACTCAATACAGTAACTGCATTTGTAAAAAAAATTGAGAATATCTCTTGTTAAATTTTGCATTTTTCTTGTAGATTACCCTTTTCTGAGTACTTGTGTCCTTAGAGGTGCAAAAAAGCTTTGATCTTTGCATCTGAATGTGACAACCCTGATTACCTAACCCTTGGACTGCTTGACACTGGTTTTGGGGCCATCATTCACCATTGCAGGCAATTGTGACGACTTCCCCATTCACGCCTCCACTACGTATTCCTCCAGTTGTGTAAGCCTTTGTAATCTGGAGAGAAGAGACTGCCCCTTCAGCAACGAGTCTCTGTTGGTCAATGTTGCAAAGCTGGAGACGGTAGGATATCTTTAGATGCCTTGTTGTTCAGTAATTTATGGATCAGAAGTTACCAAGGGTTAATGTGTGTAATGTGTACTTTTACTTTTTCTTAATTGTGTAATGTGTACTGCTTTCTGTACACGTGTAGCACGAATTTTATGTCAAAAAAAAAGAAGGAAATATCCCAATTCATATTGACTCTCACACCTTCCGCTTTACTCTTCTCTCCATTGCAATTTCCATGGTAGTCATTAGCGTGTGAATTTCAGCTTCGTACTCCCTTTTAAGATATTTTTGCTTAATTAATTTAACAAAAAAATTTGCTCCCGTCAATACTCTTATGAAGCAAATCACTCTTCTTCAAGTGTCTAAGAAATTCTAATCATTTGATCAATTTCATTGTTCATCCTTCTTAAATTTTCTACTTCAAATTTCAAGCTTTGCAAGTACTAAAATGGGTGGACAGAACACACAAAAAAATGACTTAGGCTTTTGACATTTTATTAGGAGCAATCTCGATGACATTCATACAAATAGAGAATCTGTGTTGATCCTTATTTCTGGTGCGTGTTTGTTCTATTCTGGTGTGTTGCCTGGGCCTATCTTATTGGCCATTAAACTTTTTGACATCTCTTTCAAACTTTGTGAGTTCTTTGAAATTCTAAAATCTATTTCTGGCTAATGTAATGACTTTTTACAGATATCTGATGCCATCAACGTTTGGCATTTTAACTAAAGACTATCTACATGTTGTATCCCTAGATAACTTTTTGCATTCATGTATTTCTGCTGCAAAATAGATTCTAGGGTTAAGGTAACTAATTTTCTAATGGATTTTATATGTATCATTTACCTAATATGGATCTGAAAAGGGGGTTTATGAGGATAGAGTGTACGCAGACCTTACCTCTACCTCGAGTAGGTAGGAGACACCAGCTGAGAAATGTTGTTTCCAACTACATGGTATGAAGCTACAAATAAAGAGTTAAGTTTTAAGCTTCTAATTATCTCTACATTTTTCTAAACATTATAACTTATCTAATTCTTTGGTTTCTTATTTTATATTTTGTGTTATATGTGTACTTATGACCCTTACATATGCCGTGTTTATTATGGTATGTTTACTATGCTTCAATTAAATTAATATTTTACCTCTTTGCCGTTCTCTTCTTTTGTTGCAGTGGTGTAAAGAATATAGTCAAGAGCGAAAGAATTTAATTACCTAAACTTGGTTTTTGTGATTGTACTGTTGAAAATATATTTATATGTATAATAGTAGAGTTATTCATTTATTAATCTCATGCTCCAATTTCTTGGATATGGAAGAAAAATGTCATTAGAATGTACGATTCTTTAGAATATGTATTCACATTAGTTCAATCCTTTGAGCTGCATGTTGAATTTTTAGTCCACTGTCTTGGTGGATCAATAGCTAATCCTTGGAATTCATCTGATCCATAAATTTGATTTGGGTAATAACATTAGTATCATAGTTTGGTAATCTTTATTTTTGCAAGTATATAGACATTGTTAACATAAAAATGGACCCATTTGAATTGGTGGTAAGTGAGTGGATATCAATATTTTAAGAAAAAATCAGAAAATCACCCAAGAATTAGATCCAAAATTGACAACACATCTACCTCCAATAGAAACGAAAATCAGGGGGAAAAGGGGTGAGAAAAATAAGAAAATCAAAATCTGCAAAATCAAAACAAAAGAGTGAGAAGATTAAGAAAACTAAAAACTTATAAGAAGAAAAGCAAATATTTTAATCTGAAGACCAAAAGACTTACCAGTTTAAACCTTCTCTTGAAAGAGATTGAAAGAGCTCTAATTACCCTTAGCCTTAGATCAGCCCAAAGCAATCTCAATTGCTCACACGTGGAAATAAAAAGCCTTCACTTGTTAATACCCAATCAAATTGAGCCATAAAGGGCCAAAATTATGAGGCCTTATAGTACAACTTAAAATGCTTTTCATATTATAGTACAACTTGAAATGCTTTTGCTATCAAACTCTAGATAGATTGTTAGAGGCGAACACTTCGCATATAATATAAAGAAATAATTATTATATTATATAGTTTTGTACAATAATTTTTTTTATTATAGTCATGTTGGGCCCGTGCAACGCACGGGCATCCCCATCTAGTATATATAGAAATGTCTCTTCCATATAAATGTCTTACACTTTAACAGAAATGGTTGCATAATTCAATTCAATAGTTCTGAATTTGGATTTTACTAATTATTACCCTTTTTTTTTTCAAGAAACAATATAATATGTTCAATTTAAGAAAAAGACTTAAACCCACCCATGATTGAAAGTAATTAAATAAATGAAAGCATTTGCTCTTCAATTAACTTACTAAACATTTTAGGTGAAGTGAAAGTTGCTATTCATATTTGGAAATAAATTTCGCTATCCAATTTTAAAAGAAATGTTATGTAATATATAATTACTCTCACAGTGTTATCAAATACTAGTAAATATGTGATACTACAAGTCTACAACTTGTTAATTAAGTTATTCTCAATTTTTTTATTTCTATAGATGGGAAAACTATTAAGTATCATTCATTTATTAAAAAATTATGAGGGTCAACAATGTTAACTAAAAAATTTAACACAAAATTTGTGTAAAATCTGTTAGGCGAACCCCAATATTGACCGTTGAGCGTGCTTAGGACGCAAGTCTCATAGAATTAAATCAGAGTGTTTTACTAAAATCTCACCCCGGAGCGCGTCCTAACACTACCTTTTAAAACACTACTATTTATTACCTTATTATAAATTTAAGAAAAAAACTTACCCCCACCATGATGGGAAGGAATTAAATAAATGAAAGCATCTACTCTTCAATTAACTTAGTAAGCATTTTAGGTGATGTGATGAAATGAAAGTTGTTGCTCACATTTGTAACTTAATTAACACTACGTCTACGCATAAAGCACAAATTGACAGCCTGGACTCTATATATCGTTAGACATCACTTTCCTCCTAAGAATGTGTTTGGTACGGAGAATAACATTTTTTTATTTTCTAATGTTTAGTTGGTTAAATATTTTGAAAAACAAACTCCTTATAAATGAGGAAAATAACTTCTCTAATGAAAGCGGGTAAAACAAATTTTGTAAGTGACATTCCAAGTTTCCAACATCATTGTCTCCTCTCCACCGAGTCAGCATCTCCACTCCCACCCCTGAACCTCCGCTTCATACACCCATACCGTCCACATAGTATTTTGCTAGATTACATATAAATGCTCTTGGGGTAATATTGTTTTACTTGATTAGCAAACACTAAAAAAAAAGTAAAAGCCCCACAAATTTTTCAACAAAACATTTTCCTTCTTACCAAACACACCTTTAGTTACCAACCTTTCTCCCCCTATAAATATGTACCATATCCAGGCTTGAAGTTTATTCACTTAAAATATAATCCTTCTTTAAATGATGAAGCTAAATTTTGCAACGTTGCTTTTGGTGGCACTTGTTCTTACTTCTTTCCTCATTCCAGCCACTATTGCTGGTTCAGGTAATTTTTATATATATGTGACACTTTTTTGATTATCTACTCAGGTCGGAGCTAAAAGTTCAGTTATGAATTCGATCAAAACCAATAATTTTGATTGAAATAAGGTATTTATATCAAGAATTTTATTGAATATATATAAATATTAAATTTTGAATTCAGTTATAATCACTTGTAGCCGTTATTCTTAAGTTCGAAATTCATAAAATTAAAATTTTAGCTCCACCTTTACATTTACTAGCCATCTTATCTTTTACTAATATTTTTGATCTATAGCCAAAATATTCTTTATTTTTTAAATTCAAGAATGTGCACATTAATTTTTAGAAAAATCATTGTACACTCACTCTTCCAAGATGGCATATAATTATCAATTACATATTTAAGGAAGAGATTACATTAATTTTGTCAAGATTACCCCTTATTTTCAATGTTTTCTTGGACATATAAGGAGGACCATATATAGTAAGTACTATATATATGTTTAGTCTTTGATGTTCTTATATTAATGAAACGCGGTTGTGTTTTTGCACGTAGATTTCTGTGATTCAAAGTGCAACTATAGGTGTTCAAAGGCAGGACGACAGGACAGATGCTTAAAGTATTGTGGAATATGTTGTACAGAGTGTCACTGCGTTCCTTCTGGAACTAGTGGAAATAAAGATGAGTGTCCTTGCTATAGGGACAAGAAAAACTCCAAGGGAGGGCCTAAATGTCCTTAAATTTACTTAATCTTTTCCCCAAATTGTTGTTTGTCAAACACAAAGATAGAGGTTCAAAGCCTTGATGTGCCATGTTTGTCATGAAATAAGGTTGATTATAATAAATAAATAAATAAAACAAATAAGTGAACAAATGAGGTTCTTTTGTATATTTTATTTTATATAATATTTATTTTATTTGTTATGTAAATTTTAAGAAAAAGACATAGGTAAATTATTTGATCAATCACATCTAGATACTTTGATCAGAATCAAGAATAAATTTGGAAAAATTGGGAGAAGAAACGAAAGGGACTTTGTTAATGAGTTGTTCCAGATACACTGTATATGGGCTTTTATTTCTTGAATTGTGAAGCTGACCGTAAATAATTAAATTTACTCAATATCTAGGTTATGCTATTTATAACTATTTCTTTCTTATAAAATGAGTTCCAATTTTTTTTAAATTAATAAGTACCATGTCATTTTTTTGATACTTGATATATATTTTATAATGGCTCGAATCACATACAAATTCTTGAACATAATTAAATCTTTATTAAATTCCTTATTCTTCAATCGTAACCTTTTCATATTTTTAAATAATTTTAATTATTAAATTATTATAATTTAAAGTATTTCTTTTATGTAATTATCAAATATGTTAATTTTAATTTCAAAAAATAATTTTTTTTTATATTTATTAAATATATAGTCAAAACATAGAAGTTTGAATCTCGGAAAAATAAAAAAAGCTATAAAAAATTGGGGCGAGGAGTAAAAAGCATCAACGTAATTTATAAATTGTGTGATGTACCTTTGATATTAATTAAACTACAATTTTTCAAATTAAATTAAGCATGTGATTAATATGGAGTCACGAAGGGAATTATGACTTATGAGTCACAAAATTATAGAAAAGCTAACAATAAATCATGTGATTTGAGATTGAGTTAAATTTAATGTAGAAAAATAACAAAAAAATAATTACAAATTTAAGCACTTAATTTATACTCTTTAATTTAATTAAATTTAGAATTAATAATTAATAGTGAGCTATTAAAATACTAGAAATAAAATTAAACTAGGTAATTTGGTTGCGGTACACGCGGTTATAAATGTTGCATCAAATGTATAAATTAATAATTTAATATTATTTGGATGTAAAAGAGTTTTAGTTCAAATTCAATTAAATAGATCAAAATTCAAATTTAAATCCATATTATTATTCACACTAAACCAATTTATAACAAATAAAATATGCTATTAAATGAAGGAAGAAAAAGTGCTTTTTCATTTTCCGTTAAACAAAAATTCATCAATGTCATATAACCAAAGTGAAAATAATTGTATTTATATGTCAGGAATTATAACATGTACAAATTTAAAAAGTAGAATTTAGAAAACAAATGAAAAACAAAGCTGATCATTTTGTGTAATTTACACACTTTATATATATATGGGCAAATAATAAAGTGTTCTCTACGCATTTATAAACCATAAAGTGTTCATGGCTGAAATGGGCAAACAATGAGAACCAAAAATAGTTAAAGAATTAATTGTATGACTTATGTTGTTTAGGTATACCATAAAGGATTAATAGTTAAAGTATAACATTTATTAATACCAAAGAAAAAAAGATGTCTTGCCATTTTTTTAATATCAAGTAAGAAGTTCGTTAGTGTATATTAAATTATTATTGAATTATTGCTTTGAAGTTATTATTGTTATACTCAATTGTTGACGGAAAGGTTTTAGTTTGACTGCATTAATATTTCTTCATCTAAGATGGCTAACAAAACTCTTAACTCTTGGACTTGTTTATTCTGTCTATTTCATTAATTCTTATTTTATGTTAATACAAGATGAAGTGTGAATTTTAAATCAAACGCATGGTTAAATGATTTTGACTGCTAACTATGTGATCAGTCATATTCTCTATATTTGTATTTTCTTTTAAATATTTTTCTTTCACATCAAAATTTGAAAGGGAACCCAAATAAAGTAATGGCATAATATATAATCATGTCTTTTAATTTGACTTTAACTAATATTTATACTCACTAATTTTGGGTGTGCACAAATAATCACTTAGACTTGTATAAAATTGATTAAGTAGACACAAGTCCTACATGATATATCTAGGAAATCACGTAGGACATGAATTGTCATGTAGCTAGGATGCATGTGTCTACTGGTTCAACTTTATATAAGTTTAAGTGTTTACTTGTATATACTCAAAATTAAACAACATCAATATCAGTTAAAGTTAAGTTATAAGACATTTTTATGTATTATGCACTGTAGTTTATATATGGGAGAAATGATGACAACCAGAAAGGTTTCCAAAACTTATGAACTTTTGTCTAAATGTGTCTTAATTGATACACTGCCAATTTTTTTATTAAAAGAATTGCGACGGGCAAAGACAGCAAACCAAATTCTTCTATAACAGGGAAGGCCAACTTTGCCACAAATCATCAATTAATATGTCACATATCTTCACCCAAATAATCGGACAGTACTTTTTTTAGTCAATATACACAGATTATACACATTCATACATATAGTATACGTCCACCAACTATTTAAGTTAATGCTTCAATTTGGTGGTTGTCTTGTCACCCTTGAATTTGGTCCTACGCAATTCACATGACCACATAAATAGGATCTTCCTTACAATATATACAGTTTTCTTAACTGAAAGATACCTTTTCCCTTAGCAGACTAATTTGAATAAAAAAATTGAAACACTTATCACGTGGCTATATATAAATTTTGCTTACCTACTACATAAACATAATAACTATATCTTTATTCCCCAAAATGCCCTAAACAAGACATTAGTATTAAAAAATTTCTCTCTAGGGAAGTGGAAGCCATATTAGCCATGTCTTTGATATGGGAAGTAGTAGTTGTAGTTAGTATTGTGTATGTGTTGTATGAGTTGCTAAATATACATAATAGAAAAAAGTTACCTCCAGGTCCAAGAGGGCTTCCCATTCTTGGACATCTTCATTTGTTAGGGAAAAACCCTCACCATGATTTTCAAAACTTAGCCAAGAAACATGGTCCAATTATGTATATGAGACTAGGACTTGTACCTACAATCATTGTCTCGTCTACTGATGTAGCCGAGAAGATCCTCAAGACGTATGATCATATCTTTGCTAATAAGCCTCATAACGAGGCAGCTCATTATTTGGCGTATGGACAGAAGAATATTATATTTGCAAAGTATGGACCATACTGGAGAAATATGCGTAAATTGTGCACTCAACATCTTTTGACTAATCAAAAGATCAATTCATTTCAATCCTTGAGAAGACAACAAGTTGAGCTTATGATCAAATCACTTCAAAATGAAGGTCGTGTTGTTGTTGATCTTAGTGAAAGAGTCGCGTCCTTGAATGCTAACATGACTTGTTTGATGGTGTTTGGAAAGAAGTATATGGATCAAGATTTCGATAAGAGGGGATTTAAAGCTGTACTTCAAGAAGTTGTTCATTTAGCTGCAATAACTAATCTTGGAGATTTTTTCCCCTTTCTTGGTGTAATTGATCTCCAAGGACTCACACGCCGACTCAAGGATCTTTCAAAGGTGTTTGATGAGTTTCTTGAGAAGATTATCAATGAACATGTCGAGTCTCGTGATGAAAATCAATCCAAAGACTTTGTGGACACGATGTTGGACATTATGCAATCAGGAAAAATGGAATTTCAGTTTGATCGTATCCATATAAAAGCTGTCCTCTTCGTATGTTATTTCATCCTTCTAATAATAATAAGGTCATTGTAATGATTAAATTTGTTCGTACTAATTTCCCCTGTTTCCTTTTTTCTATAACAGGACATGATTGTTGCAGCAATTGACACTTCAGCAACATCAATAGATTGGATACTAACAGAGCTTCTTAGACACCCTCATGTGATGAAGAAACTACAAAACGAGTTAGAACAAGTGGTAGGCCTTGAAAGAATGGTAAAAGAATCCGACTTGGAGAATTTGAAGTACTTAGACATGGTTGTAAAAGAGGGAATGAGGCTACATTCTGTAGTGCCAGTAACGCAACGTGAGGCCATGGAAGATTGTGTAGTTGATGGCTTCAACATACGAAAGGGAACACGAATCATGATAAATCATTATGCAATTCAGAGGGATCCAAATGTTTGGTCCGAGCCTGAGAAGTTTTTTCCCGAGAGGTTTATTGGGAGCAGTGTAGATGTTCGTGGACGTGACTTCCAACTTTTACCATTTAACTCTGGCAGAAGAAGTTGCCCTGCAATACAATTGGGGATTATCGTTGTCCGCCTTGTCGTGGCGCAATTGGTGCATTGCTTTGATTGGGAACTTCCAAATGATATGCAGCCTTGTGATTTGGACCTTGAGGAGCACTTTGGAATAGTAACATCCAAAGAAAAACATTTAATGGCTATTCCTACTTATAGACTAAATGAACAATGAAAATACAAATTTTCATTTAGATATCAGGATTGTACTTTTGAAAGTTTCTATCGGATTCTACTTTTATGATTTTTGTATGCTTCACCTATAGTGATAGGGTCTTTTGAAAATCGTCTCTCTACCTCCACGAGATACTGATAAAGTCTGTGTACACTCTACCCTCTCCAGACCTCACTTTATGGGATTTCACTGAGTATGTTGTTGTTCTTCACCTGCAGTAATAATACATATTAGATTTTCTGGTTAATCCTCATTATACTTGTTCAGACTGACATAATTTGGACTAGTTTTATTTTATCTATTTTGTTGAATTGTACATAAAGGTATAATACATAAATATGTCATTTAATTGGACCACATTTCATATTTATGTCTTTCAATTTTTGGTGTGCATAAATAGATATTTAAACTTGTATAAAGTTGAACAAATAGACACACGTGTCCTGCGTGACATCGTACATCACAATTTGCATTCTAAATGGTATCCTAGCATTATACTACATAGGATTCATGTATCTACTTATTCAACTATTTATAATCTAAGCTGCTATTAAAATTGGGTACTTAGTTTACATATATACACTAATTAGTACTATGTTTCCTATATAAAATTTGTGTTGATTCCAAAATGTATAGACCCATCGTTGAGTTTGTTAGTCAATAATAACGGAGTAGGTAGGAGGAGAAGGTATGAGGACAAAATATATTTAGTAATTGGTCAAAAAATAAAAAAAGAAGTTCATGAATCTCATCTCATATACGAAAGGGAAAAGGGTAAAAAATGCCCTTAAACTATGAGAAAGGAATAAAAATGCCCTCCGTTTATAGTTTGGCTTAAAAATTTCCTTACCGTCAATACTTTGGTCCAGAAATGCCCCTATAGTTACAAAATGGGTCAAAAATGCCCTTTTTCGAATAAATATATATATTTTTCTTTTCAAACATATCTTCTTCCTAATTAAAATATTATTAAAGAACATTGTTCTTGTTTTCTTTCTTCTAAAATCACTTTAACAAATAAAAACGTAGGAAACAATTTTTTTCTTCTTAATCTCATTTTATCAATTAAAATAGAATAACTTCACGTACCCTTTCGACATATAATATATGTCATATATAAGATTATACTATATCCATCATTAATTTATAATATATAGCGATAAAAAATAATGATAATAAAATAAGAAATATTTTCATTTTTTATTTTTTTTTCTGAATTGAAGTAGGATAAACATTTGCTAATTTTTTTTAGGAAAAATATTATTAGAAAAAAAATGTGTTAAAAAAATAATAATATATTTATTTGGAAAATAAGCATTTTTGATCCATTAAATAACAATAAGGGGATTTTTGGACCAAAGTATTGACGACAAGGACATTTTTGGACCAAACTACAAACGGATGGCATTTTTGTTCCTTTCGTATAGTTTAAGGGCATTTTTGAACCAAAGTATTGACGGTAAGGGCATTTTTGAGCAAAACTATAAACGGAGGGAATTTTTGTTCCTTTCACATAGTTTAAGGGCATTTTTGACCCTTTTCCCTATCATGAAATAAAGTATTCCTCGTTCTTTTTTAATTGTCATGTTGTGTTATTTTTCGAGAGTTACTTTGACTAAGTTTCAAATTTAAATTAGATTACATTAATTTCATATTTTAAAATAAAAATTTAAGCATTCAAAAACTATATGAAAAGTACTACAAATTGCAATTATAATGAAAAAATATATCTTAAAATGTTTGTTAAAATTCATATGGTTTGAATTTTAAAAAAGAAAATTAGAGTTGATGTTTCTTGACTACCTTAATAAACAACTTGTCTTAATAAGTATTCTATATATAACTTTTCTTACATTTTAGTATTTAGATCCAAATCAAACAAAAATATTCTATATATTAGAGCTGATGTTTCTTGACTACCTTAATAAACAACTAAAAGTTGCAATATATATAATAAGAAGGCTAGAAATTTTATTATTACTTCTACATCTCACCAACCCAGAATTGATGGGCAGATTGTATGAATTAAAAAGCAACTTTAAATCCAGTGCAAGGAGGAATCTCTTGAATTTTAGCAATTTCTTCATTACTTAATTCTCAATCCAAAATTTGGAGGTTCTCTTTCATCATCTCCTTGTTAAAACTCTTCACTATATATTACACTAGCTCCTTGCTCAAATACCCACCTTAATGCCACCTATATATACATATTTATTAAGTATATTTCTTCTGTCTCAATTTATATGAGTTAATTTTACTTGATATGGAGTTTAAGAAAGATAGACAGACTTTTAAAACTTGTGATCTAAAATAAATCATAAATATTTGTGTGCCTATAAATCATATCTTTAAGCGTAAAATTGACATTTTAAAGTTAAATTGTGGAGTAACTAAATATTAAAATGTGTCATTCTTGTGAGGAGTGACTAAAAAGAAGAGTGAATCATATAAATTGGGATAGAATGAGTACTAATTTTGCAAGTAAAGTAAGTTATATTATTTTTTTTTTAAAAACTATTTCATTGGGAGATGGATGACATCTTAGAGCATGTTTAACATTGTTGTTGGAAAGCAAAAATCATTTATTTAACAAAAAAACATTTTTATTGTTTTTTAAAAAAACACTTCTAAAATCAATTTTTAAAAAATGCTTCTAATTATTTTTAACTGCAATGTTAAACAGACTCTTAGCGTGTGTTTGATATGAAGGAAAATGTTTTCCATGGAAAATGATTTTCTGGAAAGAAAATATTTTTTAATGTTTGGTTGGTGAATGAAAAACATTTTCTAGAAAATATCTTTTATTTTTGGCTTGAAACTAGAAAATACTCTTTAAAAAAATAATTTCTGACCCAAAAAATCAACCGTGATAATCGTTCTAAGACCCGACCCTAACACCCAAATTAGGATACGACCCAAACGATCGTGAGATCTGACATTGGACCTAATCCAGACTTTCGATCCTGAAATATTTCTCAAAAACTTTTTTTTTTTAAATATGGGACGCAAGGGGGTGTAAAAAATCAAAAATTTAAAATTTGAAATATTTTTCAAAAACTGTTTTTTACAATAAAAAAAAATTATGACGGGGTGGCCCTGGGTGGGGGGTTAGATGGCGTATAAAATGAAAATTTGAAATATTTTTCAAAAACAAATTTTCCTTAAAAAAAATTTTGACGAGGTGGCGAGGGGGTTGAGAAGGGAGTGCGGGTAGCATAAAAAAAATAATTTAAAATTTGAAATATTTTTCAAAAAAATAATTTTTTTGGACGGGGTGGCAAGGGGGTGGCCGTAGGGGTGGGGGTGATGTAAAGAATCAATTTTTTAAAATTTGAAATATTTTCAAAAAAAAATTCTTAAAAAAATTGATGGGGCCCTGAGTGGGGGGTAGTGGGGGTTTAGGGGTGGTTTGGGGTAGGGGGCTGTTTTGGGGTAGGGTGAAAAAATATTTGAAATTTAAAAAATAAGAAAAAAAATTTGTGGATGGGGAGGGTCAGGTAAGGGGTACGGGGTAGGGTAAAAAAATATATTGTAATTTAAGAATGAAATAGAGTTTTGGAAAATGTTTTTCTTAATTTTGGAAGGGAAGTCATTTCCTTAAATTTGAGGAAAAAGGAAAAATGTTTTCCTTAATTTTAGAAGGGAAGTCATTTTCTTAAATTTGAGAAAAATTAGTTGATTTGAAAAACATTTTCCAAAACATTTAAGCCTATCAAACATGGAAAAATTGGAAAACATTTTCCAGAAAATATTTTCTTTCATGTCAAATACACCCTTAATAAGTAAGGTTTAGGTGAGTGTCACCAAATTAGAAATTGTGTAAAAAAAAAAAAAATTATGCTAGGAATTAGTGCATTTTCACCTGAGCAACGGTTTTGTGTTTGTGAATGGCGGTATCTTTAAGGACAGGGCTTTGCATAACAGCATGGTTGCCCCATAAAGGTATCCCATTTGCTCCAAGTGGAGACCATGCACTAACATTAGAAATTTAAAAATCAACTAAATTGATTAGATTTTAATTTTAACTAATAACCGATTCAAACTGAATCATGAACACCCCTAATAACAACAATAGATAACAATAAATAGCACTATTCTTAACGGTGATATGAGCATTAATTTACTTACTCCGTTATCAACTTAAGTGTCTTAAATTTTGTGGGACATAAATTGAATAAAGATGTATATAGTCATTTAAATTTCATTATCTTTAACTTGGCAAATAAAATATTAAAATTGAAAATTTTATTAAATATAAAGGACTCTTTTTGGGTCAAAATAAAAAAAAGGAAAAAACTTAAATTGGGATATGGGGAGTATATCACAAATTGACCGTTGAACAAACTCACACATATGATCAAGTACTACCAAGAAAAAAAGAAGAAAAGTAGTTACCCAAGAGTTCTTTTTAAGGCAGGAAGAACAAAGTCCCGATGTGTTTCCGTGCACCATAATTTATGAGTCCGTGTTGTATCGCTTCCGCCACTGCTTGGCCAAGTGCTTCCTCAGAGCCATAGGCAGCGGCTGTGTTAAAGTGACGATAACCAATTTCAATGGCATCTATGAGTGTTGACACTAATTCATCATGTTGTGGTAAGGAAGGTGCTGTTCAGAATTTCATGACCAGAATTCAGTTTCACATTTGACACTAACATTTGCTTCATGTTCATAGCCATGACCTAAAATGAATAAGTGGTAATTACTAATTAGAGGTGTATAGATCCCAACAACGTTCCACCTGCAACCTAAAATAGGTTTTAGGAAGTTTGTTTGGCGGGTCCCTTCGAAGACATTGTGATATAATTGGAAAGAAAATTATGTACTCATCCCCATTTTCTTCTATCTACTTTTATTTAATTATTTGTTTATTATACTACAAGTAAATGTTTTATTTTATAGATTAAAAAATGATCCTGCTATTAATAAATCACGAGCAAGTTAGATTGGGATTCCCAATGACAAGCGAATGGACATTTCCGGGTCCAGAACAAACAAAAGAAGGGAAAGCCGGGTGGTTGAGACAGTTTAATCCATTTTCACAAAAGTATGAAGCTTCAAATGAAAGAACTTTATTTTCTGTATGGGAGGGCGAAAGTTAAAGAAGGATGTTTCCAAAGATGCAAAATAAATAACGTGTGTAAGGCAGGACCAAAGAAGGTAGCATCCACTTCTTACTTAATGGTTAGATCCGAATTCTACAATGGAGCTCAAAAACAAATTGGTTTGGGAGTCAATCTTCTCCGTCTTTATTGACTCGAAGCTCTTGATTTTTTTGTTCTATTTCTGTAAGAAGATTCTTTATAGTATGGAATTATAGTGCTAACATTATTGTCATTAAAAGGATATAAGTCAACAGGACAAATAATGATAGACTTGCGTAGATAGTTGTTGTGGACATATACCAAACAAATCTTATCTCTTGTTGAAGTGATATATAGTGATTAACGTATAGTGGAGGTTGTCTACCGTGATCCTTTCAAGTTCAACCATGACACTTAACATTATTGGGATCGAAAGAATTATGGTGTCGTGTAGAAGCTTATAATTACAAATTATGTTGATGATAAATTAGATGACAAATAAAAGTATACTAAAAATATCTGGTCAAGCAACCTACATATTATAATTGAAAAAACATAAACAGTCTCTCCATAAACAAAACTCTCTAAACGATTACATTGTGAATGTTATTGTTGTTCTGGTATGAAAAGAGGAGCTGGTCTTCAATTTATGGAGTTCTAAAGTTTTCCTCCAAGAAAGGAATAACCCAAATTTTAAAAAAAATTATATTTTCTTTTCAGAAAAAATGAAAATATTTATTGTAATACTTTGACTTTCCTTAAAAAAAATAATTCAAATAAGATAAAAAAATCAGGGTAAAACTCAAATCATCATAATTTGAACAAGTATTAATATTTAATCAAGCGTTCAAAATATAATTGGCACACGTCATATTCTGTGATTTAGTGTCCCAAACTTGCCACTTATATTGAATAAAATTTAATTTCCACAATTATTCAGCTTGGGTCTTTTTTGTCAATGTATGTCCAATAATTCAATAATCCCCAGCTTTATCATATAAATATATAGTCTACTTTGCATCTGCATTGATGTATTCACATCTTGAATAGATTTTGATATTGAAATACAAGTATATAAATAGACATTGATATAAATCTAAAACTAATAATAAAACCTTCATAGAAATGCATCTTAATGTAAGAGAATATTTGAGAGAAATGATACTCTCCTTTTAAGTTAAAAATAAAAGTTGGTTGAAATGGATGATATAATTATCATAGTTATTTTTAAAAAAATATTGAGACCAATGCGAAAAAATGAATGATAGACTTTGATAGAAGTTAGTTAAAGAGTACTCTCTTCATTTAATTTAGTTGTCATACATTCTCTTTTAGTATGTTATATATTTGAAAATTATGTGAAAAATAATATAAATTATAATAATTAATAACTTAAAATATTTATTTATATATTTAAAATCATGTAAAAAGCACTATAAATTACAATAATTAACAACTTAAAATATTTTTAAAATATATAAACATTTGATTAGCTCTCAAAATTTTATAAGTGTCACATAAATTGGGGACAGGGGAAGTAAGAACAATTATTTGAAAATTACATTAAGAAATTATATATCACAATAAATCACAATTTAAAAGCCATATAAGGAATTTGGTTGGCTTTCCAAATTTCATTTGTACCACATAAATTGAAAAATATGAAGTAACATAACATATATTATTTGAAAATAGCATAGAAATTATTATTACTCACAATAATTAATAACTTCAAATATTTAAAAAAATATACAAAAAAATTGTTCTCCAAATTTCATCTTTGTCGTACAAATTGGGACAAAGAAAGTAACATATATTGGCTCGTGCTCCTACATTTAGTCCTCGATAGAGGAGTTCATGCTAATATAGACAAATTATATATTACTCCTTTTGTCTCAATTTATGTGACACAAATGGAATTTGGAGAGTCATTCAAATTTTTATATGTTTTAAATGTTTTATGTTATTTATTATTGTGATTTATAGTAACTAATTATGTAATTTTTAAATAATATATATTATTATCCCCGATACAAATAGAATTTCAAAATTAACCAAGCATGAATAGAATTTCGAGAGTCAACCAGTTTTTTTATGTGTATTTTAAATATTTTAAGTTATTAATTATTGTGATTTATATTAATTTTTACGATATATTAAAATAATATATGTTACTTCCTTTGCTCCATTCTATGTGACACCCATAAAATTTCGAGAGTCCATTGCTTTTTTATATGTTTTTAAAAAAAAAATTAAATTGTTAATTATTGTGACTTATAATATTATTTGTAATTTTTAAATATTCAAACAGATAAAAAAAAAATTAAAAAAAATACAGAAATTCCATAAATACCTTGGGCAAGAAGAAAAGACTTTAATGAAGAAATGTTTATTTCTAGTTATTTTTATAAAAGACCAACTTGCCCTTGTCCAGAAAGTAAACATGTTGATGAAGAATCAAACACCTGCTTCCTGGACTCTTCTATACAACAGTTAAAGTAATATTATGACCCCAAGTAACCGATGTATTAGAAGAGGATTGAATTATTGCTCTCCAAAAAAAATCAACATAGTCATCCAAACTCCACCAGAACCTCCAGATAAGGAGCGGCCGCCAGAACATCATTAATTCACTATGTTTCAACTTAGGCCATCATCACAGGCTCATACCAAGCTTCCAAAACCTCCTTTAAGAACATTTTATTGTCACTTTTTTCAAATAATGAGGACAAATCTAATGCAATTGCACCATACCATTCTGATGACACGAAAATGGACGAACAGAGTACGTCATCATAGTCAGGCAAGAGGTTGGCCTTCAAAGCCTCCCCTATTAGCCATACTAATGAAGATGACTATATTCTGCTATCATCAGACAATAAAGAACGAATTTAGAAACCCTAGGCCTATTCCATCATAATTAAGATTTTTGGTAAGACAATTAGCCATCAATACCTCAGGAGTAAACTATCATCCCTGTGGAGGGTCTCTAAATAAATCATCCTAATCGACCTTGGCCATGACGATTATATAGTTAAGTTCTTCAAGGAAGAAAATATGCAAAAGATTTTACAACAGGTTCCTGGTTTGTCAATGATTTTTTTCTTACAGATAAAAGATGGCACCCCAATTTTGTCGCTTCTGAAGTCAAGGAAAACGTTTCTGCAATATGGGTCAAACTACCGGAACTACCTACATAGTTTTACGACTAGGGGATCCTAGCACTAATATGGAATAAACTAGGTAGACTAGTTAAGACAGATATGTGTACATCTTCTTTTTTGAGAGGTCGATATGCACGTATCTACGTTGAAGTTCTAATCGGGATTCTAGTTAAAGAACACATAACAATTGGCCAGCATAAACAACCCCTTATCTATGAAGGCTCCAATATCTGATGCACCAACTGTGGTGTACTGGGTCATATCAACACAAACTGTACAAAGAAAGATAACACGGGTAAAGAGATTAAAAACTACCTCTGCAATACATAACGAAGCACCCAAATTCGCAACTACTAAACAAATAAGTTCGAAAAAGGGGCCACTGAAGAACCATGAGAGACGGTAACTTTTACACAAAAGAAAAGGCATGGGAAACACTCAATGACAGATACTCACGCAAATGAGACAGGTATTAGCGTCAATTTATTTTATGCTAACACAAGTAAGTTTCTTGATTCCAAAATCTATAAGTATAAGAAAAGCCCACAACAAAACAGAGACATATCAATCGGGCCTTTACCTACAACCATCAATACAAACAGTTCCCAGCAGTTGGTTGACCAAGAAATTCACAAGAACATTTTCATCGACGTCACGCCTGATGACGTTAAAAATTAATTTTAATAATTTTTAAAAAAACAATAGTAGCAGTAAGGCGGCAACAATAATACCCTATGAGCCTACATTAACCCCTAAAGGGACCTCTACGAGGCGTACTCAAATTACCAATACTTCTTCACTAATACCTACAAATTCTACTATTCTAATTAGCAAAAATCTTTCCAAAATCCATTCAAAAGAAAATACCAACTCATTAGCACCCACATCAAATATCTCATCAAAAATTCATTCACACTTGGCCCCCCAATCCCGCCACATTAAATGACAACTCCACAAAAATTAAAACAAACAAACAATTTACCCTAGATGGCTGCAATCCACGTTGTCAAAACTAATTCCAGAACTTTTAGAAAATATAGGGGTCCCTCATATCCGGATAAGGCATTAATGTTAAAAATTAATTTTCACTCGAGTATTCCTAGTACCATATTACCAAAAAGAAGAAGCCTAATTTATTAATAAAGTTGATATCCCAGTCAACTTTATCACCATCAAACTTCCAAAAATCCTAGATAAGGCTAAGATTTCCTTTTTTAGCCCAGCGAAAAGAGGAACTCCATGAGACATTCCCTCTCTCATCACACTTCATGACCTCCAATGAACAACCTCCCTCTATCAATTAACTCTTATCTTCCCTTTCCAGCACCACTCCAACCTCTCTTGACCTTTCCAGTAACAATAGAGAGGCACACTTTTTATGCCACCCATGCTCTGACCCCAAACCCCATCCCCCATTCCTGATTGAAGATAGCTCTACATGGACATGCACTATCGTTCACAACTCTAGTGAAAATCCAGGAGGTGGTGCTCCTTGTTCAAAACTCGACCTTATTTGTTCAAGTAGTGTCGAAAGGGATGAGGCTGACAATGGAGACCTACAA